CCGCGGGCCCCACGCTCCTCTGCTCCTAGTCAATTAAATACGAGTTTTGAATTTTTTTTTATCTTTATTTTTTGCCTTCAATTAAACGCGACTTAAAAGACAAATTTTAAATTTAGAAGGGCATGTTTGGTTCGCCCCATTTCTGCTGGGGAAATGGCTAAAGATGATCAATTCTAGCTTTTACCATTTTCAAAAAAAAAAATAAATAAATAAAATTAAAATAAAAATAAAAAAATCCTAGCTTTTACCTTCAGCAGGGAACTAGCGTAAAACCCAAAGATCATTTTGGCTGGGGGGCAAAAATGATTTTCGGCCTTATCTCATATCTCAAAAGATTAATTTATCAAGTCAGAATGATATAATTATAATTTTATATAAAATTAAACATCTTTTAGTGAATCCATATAGTATAATAAGTAGTTTTATTTATGAAAGGATTGATAATTTAAAAAATAATTAAAATTATAAAGTTATAATATCAAATAATATTATAATTATTAAGATATTAGGAGAATCACAATTGATAGACTTTATATAATTAAACTTAATTTTTTATTTGGAACTTTCAAATTTAATTATTTATTTTTTAAAAATATCATTTAATATATTTATTTATATTTTCATCTTGTTTTAAAATATAATTACAATGTGTATTAAATAAAAAAAATTTTATTTAAGTGATCCTTAATTAAAGATAAATATAAAAATTTATCAATAAATTATTATATTTCTATTTTATTAGATAAAAAAACTAACTCTACTTAAAAAAAAATAAAGGACTAATATATTTGATTCTATTATTAATGAAGCATACTATACATAGAGTGTTTTAATGTAATTGTTTAATTTTAACATTTGTGTACCCTATTTTCAAAAAATTACATTTGTCTACCCTAAAGCCTATCTAAAGTTAGTACATGTAATTCTCTAGACATCTCAACATTTAGTTCCCTTTACTTACTTTCTCATGTTTTAAATCTTATTAATAATTATATTATTTTCGGTTTATTAAGAAAATGATTTATAGTAACTTGTTATAAAAGTTACTTTGATCTAAAAATTACACTTTAATGGGTTATTTTTAAATTTAGCAGTACTTTATTTTTAATTGCTTACGAATTTCTTGCTTTTGTTACCGTTTAAAATTGTTTTCAGAATACCATTTTAGCAGCCCAACAATACTGTAAGATGTTATGTTATTACATTACATAACGACAACAAAATTTTATATTAAAAGTAGTAATATAATAATTTCATTATCTTTTAATCTTACATATTTCTTTATTTTGGATTAATTATTTTATATTCTCTTTTGTCTGATTTAAGCTTCATTTGATAAACGTTGGACTGTTGCTAAAGTTTTTTTAGTTATTTAATACCCAAAAGTATAAAAAATACAATATGTTTAAGAACATAGTGCACAATAATCCAATTTTTATTTAAAAAAATTAATCCTAACTTCAAAAATAACTCCTTTGAAATGAATATTTTCATAAATCAATCATTACGTTTAATATTTTATTAATATAAATCATGTGTATCAATTTTATCTATGGTTATTTGATTAAAAAATTTATATATTTTAATATATATTTAATGATCTTAACTTTTATATAATCAATAAACTAATTAAACTTACAAAATTAATTTAAGAATTAATATATATAATTTACATAAATAAAATTTTTAAGTACAACCATTAATTTTTTAAAAATTACTTATAAGGATTACTTACAAAACATTTTTTTTATATAATATTCTTAAAACTCGAAATTAATAAGTGAGAGTTGTGAATAAACCCAGTTACTTGTGGTGTAGCCAATGTTTGCCTTACTATTCCTAGTTTTCTTCGACATGACATAAGAGATGAAAAAGGAAGGGTTTTCCCCAATTAAAATGGGTAAATGGATATACCCTGCAGTAATGTGGTGATTTTTATTTTTTGAAAAGTATGTTATTTGAAAATGGGAATTATATATATAAATATACAGTGATTGATTGATTTGGCAGCATAAGCATATAAGTATTAAAGCATAAGCATAAGCATAAGCATAAGCACTCTTTTTTGGGTGGGTAAAGCATAATAAGCCTTAAAGTATATAATATAAGCATTACTCGACAGGAGAAGAGGAGGTTCGGCTTAGAGAGAGAGAGAGAGAGAGAGAGAGTATGTGTGTGACACTGTGTGGGGCACGACGAGGTGCGGTCACAGGTCAGAGCAGGAGTTAAGGTGTCAGACCACGTAGAAGCTGCCGGAACATCGGTACTTGGTCAACCTTATCTAATCAATTTCTTTGTGCACCGCACCGCATCAATACTCCTCTTCGTAGATACAATATTTATTTTATATTAGATTATAGACAATATTTTTTTTTATTTATTTTATTTATATATTATATAATTTAAATTTAACATATTTTATTAATTTAATATTAAATTACTTAAGTAGTTGAAAAATATCCATTCTCTTGACTAGTAAAGTACTATATACTTTTATATATATATATCTACATTAAACATGAAAGTTTTAAATTTTTTTATTAACATTAAGGATTAGACTCAAATTTTACACTTATATATGTTAAACTTAATATGAAAAGTTTTTTTATATATATATAAAAAAAAAACCATTAAACCACAAATACGTTCTCAAATTTTTATTTCCTTATTATTACTCTTACCGTTTAAAATTACTATGGAGTAAGCTAAGTTCTTTAATGTACCGACAAAAAGGAACCCATGGACAAATTAGAAGTAAGAATCTAATCGTTTTTTGGCTAAGTCCCAAGGGTACAATGTATAAGACCTTTCTCAGTTCTTTCTTTTCAAACCACAGAAATATTTAAAGAGTAGTTAAACCTTAAGTATTCTAAGCTAATAATGACAAGCACACACAGAGGGAGAAATTAATCACCATTTCTGGCATTATGGTACTAATACTCGTTTCTCATAATCAAGAAAGGAATCAGGGACAAAGATGTGCACCCATTTTGGACCAAAACTTAAGAAGCAGCTGCTGCTTTCCCTTTCCCCACTTGATAACTCTATTATACTACTACTAGTATCATCATCTTTCTTCCTTTAATCAATTAATTATTAATCCAATGACCAATCAAATCAAATCTACCGCAACTTCTTAATACCAAATCACTACCTAACTCTTGATGACTCCATTTGTTAAAGAAAAGGAAAAGGACTAGGATGGTCCCCAACCTCAAGCTCAATTACTACTTAATTAATCAAAGGCTGCAGCAATCACATTCAGGTTTCCCTCCTCCACATGCCTTAATTATCGTATTAAATAGAATAAATTAGCAACTTGACAACTAGTTCAGGTTCCGTAAAATTTTAGAACTCTAGAATAAAATTAAGTTATTTTGTAAAGTAATTAAATTTGAAATTTTTGTTATTTGTTTTAAAATTTTATATTTAATAAGTTTGTAATTTTAATTTTAATTTTTAATCATTTAAATTTTAAAAACTAAAATTAAAAGTAAAAAACTACAATCATATTAAATAAAGTCTAAATTAATCACCCAAGTATAGATAGCCTAGAATTGGCCCCATGTCTTGTCTTCTCACCCATATTTTTCAATGCAAATTGGTCCGACATATCTCTACCCACGGAATTATATAATTATAGATACAGCCTTATCTTATTTCTGAGAGAATATATTTAGTCCATCCAGTTTGATTTTGATTTTGATTTTGAACCATTCAATTGGCGCAATGAGAATGAATAATACAAAATTGAAAAATGAATAGGCCACAATTGAAATTTGAAATAAATAGGCAGAGTTTTAATTAAGGAAAAAAAAGGAGAAAGGGGGGGGGGGGGGGGGGAGGGAAGAGAATTAAAAGTAAAAGAGTCAAACTTTTGTTAGATGAAAAAGATGTTGTCGATATCCATCGTCCACCAGCCACTGCCTCCAGATGGAAGGCTGACGTGCCCATGTGACAGAGTCCACGCGGCAACCAGATGAAAGGATCAGGCCACGTGCACACCGCCAACTGGACCAACAAAAGACTTGAGGTCCACGTTGCAGTATGGGCCCATTTTCATGTGAACATTATCTAACCGGAACTGGTTTGCCAATTGTGCACCCACAGAATCCGGTTGGATGAATCCCTAGAAT